TCAAGGTATAAGTCGTGAGCGAAAGTTCGCGGAGGTTTAGGCAGAGGGTTGGGTGCGGTTGACGTGTGGCCGCAGTTCACAGCCTTCACGCCCATCGCACGCATATCTCTCGGCGTCCATGTGTTGCAACTTTTCGGTGGTTTACTGATCACCACTTTGTTCACACTGTTTGTCATATTTACAGTCTTTGGTGGAGTTTTCACATAACAATTCACTTTTGGCTTTAATTCAGGTTTCGGTGATTTTATGAGCGGTTTGGCGTCCAATTTGCTTAGTATTGGTCCCTTTACTTCAATTTTATTGACTAATACTTCAATTTTGTCGCTATTTCTACAGTGATATTCACAACATGTTAGTAATTGTATTAAACATAATAATTAATAAATATTAATTTGAAACCAATTTTAACTGTATGTTTAATCAGCCTTTGAACTCATTAACGATACTTTTCAATGCAAACAAACAATTTATTCAATTTAAAAGTATTTTCTAACTATTTTGTAACTGTTTAGAATAATATACTATACTATCATAAATATATCATTTGACACTTTTAAAAACATACTAGTAATACATATAACATATAACAATTTAATTGTAAAAGTAAATTAAAATGTAATTATAAATACCTTTTGTTAACACAGTTACTGTTATTATGAATATAATTATTATTATAATTGGTTTTCTCAAACTGATCCCTAAGTTTACGGACTGATCCAAAACTATTACGATTATTAAAATCCATTACTTTTTTCGACAAAACTATTACCAAAAACTTTACACAATTAAAATTAAAACTTTTATTTACAATATTTTCTTGAAAACCATTTTTAGTCAACAATCTAACGGCAAAACCATTGAAGCGATAGGTAAGGGGTGTTCAACAGGTGTTCCCACAGTCTCTCCACTGACAGGATCTCTAACTGAATGACACAAACTCTCATTGAATTCAATGCTTTTCACCCAAAACTGGTTTAAATATATTGTGGGAATCAATTAAAACTCGTTTTACGGTGGAGTTGTTATATGTTTAGAAGTTTGTGAACATTCAAACCAATTATTATGCATGCCATTAATTATTTATTTGGGAAATAACTTTTTGCTACTTTAATATTGTGATAATTTGTTTAAATATAAAGCCACTGAACATTTCATTTATATTTAAAGGAAATATTTCTCTAATAGTATAGAATTAGAAAATAGTTTCCTATTTTAAAGCTTAACTTTTAAGTTTTAATGTATAGTATTAACTTTATTGAAAGTTTTATTTAACTGTAGAATTTTTAAAAATTAATATAAGTAGAGAGAAAAGAAATCAATGAAAATTTCATTGAAATCAAATCATTTTATAAAAAAAATAAATAAAACTATTTCAAAAACTTTTCTTAATAATTTAAAATCCTTTTTTGTTAAATGCAAACACTATAATTCTTATCCTAATTATAATAAAGTATAATAATAACAAGTATTACTTATTTAGCTACAGTCCTAATAAAGAAATGTTTTCTTATATTTAGGCGAATATATTAATCATTGAATAATTAAGTGCTTAAATTTTGGGTCATTTTATTAAAATAGTAAAATGTTTTGGCACATAATTATTATGTAAATTTTGAATTATTTAATAATTTTAAAGCTTACATTTAAAGCACTACATTATTGCGATAAATGAATCAAAGAGTTATTGGGATCAGATATGTTTGCAAATAGATTAGCAACTAGACTAATAAGATGTTGAATGCAATAAACACTTTAGAGCCCAAAGTTTAGGTTAAAGTTGAGTTAAAATTGTTATAAAATAAGTAGCAAAACAAAATAATTGTGTGAATTCTCTGTATAAGAAGCGTTTCATTTCATTAGTTTGTGTCTAAAGGCTAAATAATACCAAAATTAAAAACTGGTTACTCATATTAATATACAGTATTATGTTTTGTGTATCTCTCTCTCTCTCTCTCTTAAATAATTTTAATTTTAACGGGTGTTAGAATCATTAAAACTTACAAAAAAATAAATGCTGATTAATATTACCGGCAAATTAAATGTATTTAAATCTCATACCTTAAGGATAGCAAACATTCAAAGAATACATACTTTAGGGGATAAGAAACATCTAATTAATTGTGAGCTCATAAAAGTATAGGTTTATTGTCCAGTGTTAATGAATAATTATAAAACAGATATGCAATACACAAACCACAAGTTGAATGACTTTTTAGGTAATAAAATATTAAACTTTTAATGTTAGTTCAGATGAATTGATGATATTTTTATAGATCTAACCGATAATATAATTTACAAAATATATTTCCATAGCAAATCATTTGTTTTTATTACGGTACTGATTAATATATAAATATTTACAAAACATATAAATTATAAACTTATAATAAAAATAAAGTTTATAAATAATAATTACATATTTGAGAGAATATCGACAAATTGGAAAACAATGAACGCCTAAAAAGTCAAACAAATTTGTTTGGGAAGAATCTCAAGCCATAAATGCTTTCATCCCTACAAACGATTCCAATGGTCTCGCAGTCGATGAGTCGCTGTCGGGCTAACGCCAGAGGAATGCTGGCGTCGATAGCCAGCTCTTGGGCCGACACAGAGTTACACTTTTCGAGCAAATCGATTATCTTATTATTCATGGCATTCGCGTTGTAGTTATCACTCTCGAGGACAAGCAGACCACTTGAGTACTTCACGAGCTTTAGGCCACACTTTTGGGACGCGAGTGTCGAACAGGCATTCAATAGATCTTCAACTGATATGAGCTATAATTGTCGACAAAATAGACAGAATTAAGAGATAATAACAGACATTAAGTGATGGCATACTTCAAGACCACGCGCTCTATTCACAGTACAAAAGACGTCCGTCAAAGACATTTGTCCACCACTTTGGCGGACAATGGGATCGATAATAGTATTGATTTGTTTGGCTAACGAAAGGTAGTATTTATTATCGCTGGAGAACTGGGATCTGAGTACCGGGTCATCCAACTGTTCACTGATTCCGAGACTCAATAAATGACTTTTGAATAAAACGGTCTGAAAATGACACCAAAAACACAATCAATATAGTATTTATTATCGCTGGAGAACTGGGATCTGAGTACCGGGTCATCCAACTGTTCACTGATTCCGAGACTCAATAAATGACTTTTGAATAAAACGGTCTGAAAATGACACCAAAAACACAATCAATTCAATCAGTTTCCACACAAAATGAAGTCACCAATGAAGACCTCATCGTTTGAGATGTCGTTCCCCTTATCGCGAAGTTTTTGTGTGATATTCTTCGAGAGTCCCACCATTTGTTTGGCCTATAATTGGGATCAGTTATGAATCACATATGAATGCTATCTCTTGAGACCGGTTACCATTTGCATCAATTGGTTGAGGTCTTGGAAAGCGCTGGAGATCTGTCTGTCGGTTAAGTCCTGTTTGTCTTTAATCTTTTGCTCGATTTTGCCGATTCCTCCCAAACCACGAGACATGTCTTCGGCGGTGATTATCGAGACAATTGGACACCGATTCACACGACACGTACAGACATCACATGAAAACAACAAAACATAGAAAACGTCTCGACTTTCAGGCATTGAGTGAATGAATGACTCAATGTTTGGATGTTTTGATGATTTGTTTGTTTCGTTGAACTAATCATTAGTTTATATTTAGTGTCAAAAAGCGTTTCATTGAATCCATGGATAAAATTGTAATCATTTGGACAACACTTGCAATGCATTGACACTAATGTCTGATCCCATGACAGGACTTAACGGCTTTTTCTGACCACAACTTCGATGCCATCGATTGGATCAACGGGTGGTTCGCCAGCATTGAGGACAAGTCGGCCACCGAGACGTTGGCCACGAATCTGGTGTTCAATCTTCAGCTTCTGGTGCAAGAAGTGAACAACTCTTTGGGCGAATCCGCGCAACAAATGATCCATAATTTGCCGAAAGTCTTGAGAGACGCCGAAACACTTCACGCGGACTCCGTTGAGCTGAAGAGGCAAATGGTGTCCAACAAAGAAAAGCTGCACAAAATGTCTTTGGAGTCATCGAAGTCGATGGAACGGCTCATGGCTTTGGATGTGATTAAGACACGGATGACCGACACGTGTAAAGCGCTGGAAGAGGCCGACAATTGGACCACTCTTTGGACAGATGTGGAGGAAGTGTTTGTGAGCGGAGACGTGTCGGCCATCGCATCCAAGTTAGTGGGAATGCAAAGCAGTTTAGATATCCTCATCGATGTCACCGATTATGAACAGCGAGTTCAGCGACTGGAAGCGCTTAAAGACAAGTTTGAGGCAATGATTGAGTCCCAAGTCGTCAATAGTTTTATGTCTCAGACCACAGATTCGGCACATCTTTACGTCAAACTCTTTAAAGATATGAAACGAATGCCTAAACTCAAGAGTTATTATCATAAGTGCCTTAAAAATCAGATTCTTATGGAGTGGAAGCGAATCATTGTTTTAGATCCCGAAGAGAGTGTTATCGATTGGATGAATGGTTTGCATGACTTTCTGTTGTCTTTATGGCACTCACAGATCACTTTCTGCTCGCAAATACTATTTCCCAGTGATTTCGAGACCACAATCGAGACTTTAAGTGATATATTGGTCGATGTCTTCTCATCACTTGATCCAAGTCTAACGCATTGTATCAATGAATGGATTGGAAAGCAAAGCAATCCATTAGAAAGCGTTCACTTCATTATAGATATGAAACAATTCACTCATCAGTTCTGTAAGAGTATTGAACTCAGTATTGAATCCAACCTTTCGGTCAAATGTCTGCACAAACCAAGCGTTCAATTATTGGCTCAAGTCTTGTACTCTCCGTTCCAACAGTTGATGGATAAGTACATCGATTTGGAAAAGCAATGTCTGGACCAACACCTCGAGGTTCTCGAGTCCATTGGACAGCCGAGTGAGTCGTTGAGCAAAGCGTTTGCTTTCGCCAAAGAAGTGGAGAAACGGTGTCACCAGTTGTGCCAATCAGTTGCCATTCCACTACTTCTACCGGTTCTGCAAAACTATTTCAAACAATATTTATCTCATTTCAAGTCAATTGTCAATCAAATCCGAGAGAAGTCTGATTCAGTAGAGAACAAGTCATCGATTCCAGACTTTTCTCTCTTCCAGTTGTCTCTCTTCACACTTCAAGCCAGCGGTGAACTCATTGTCCAAACGGAGCTCTTCCAGCAACAGCTCTACACTGGACTCATGGAAATGGCCACAAAAGTTGGACCCAATTCTGGTGAAGACACCAGCAGTCCATTCACTCGTTTCGATCAACTCATACTAAATCCGAATAATCGCAAAGAATTAATGAATTTGTTGGACGTCTTGATTGGCAGCGAAAGTGCGGCCATTATTCTGGAGTCAGTTGTGGAGGAATGCAAACACATCTGTTCGATGAGCGCATCGCTGGTCATCGACTGTGCGCTCAATTACATCCAAAACCATTTGAATGATGTCTTGAAACTGGTGTCGGAATCGTTCAAAGAGAACGCCATGAGCTGTGAGGAGGAAGACATGCATTCTTTCAGTCTGTCTCCACAGGAATACATCACTCAAATCGGACAGTATTTGCTGACAATTCCTCAGCATTTGGAGCCATTCGTGTTGGAGGAGAACATCGCCTTCAAAGTGTCCCTCAAATACAGTCGACTCAATAGGAACTACAGCTTCGAGCCGACCGTCAGCGACAATAACGGCGCCGAATATCTCTTGGATTGTATGACACAGAGAGCGGTCGACGCATACATTAACATAATTATGAAACTCAAGAAAATCAATAATTTCGCGAAACAACAGCTCATCACTGATATCAGCTATTTGTGCGACGTTTTGGACGACTTGGGTCTCACTCCCGGACAACAGTTTCAACTATTGCTGAAACTATTGAAAGCCACTCCACAAGAGTTTCAATCCATTAAACAAAACAATAATTCAATGTTTGTTAAGGCGATTGAATCGCTTCTCTCGAAAGGCGCTTAAATTCATACATATTTTGGGATTAAATAAACTTTTAATATATTTATTACACTTAAAATTATTGTAAATGTATTTTGAAACCAATGATTACTATCGACACAAAAATAATGAAAGCATGCATTCATGCGATTAATAAAATGATGGGACAGTTATGTCGAGCCATTAGTCGCTGTCGTGTTCAGCCTTCCTCTTCCTGGAGGTGGAGGCGCTGTTTTGCACCCGAATCGTGAACTTGTATTCCTGATCACAGCCCATATACGCGTCGGACATGAAGTACAGAGTGTAGGTGTGCTCCCCGGGTGCCGGTGCCGTAAAATCCAATTTCACTTTTGACTTTTGCTGGAGACTTAACCGCTTGATAGAGATGAGAGAGTTGGCGTTGGGGTCGCCTATCACTACCCACCAGCCCTCCTCTCGCCGATGCGGGAAAAAGGGTGCCATCACTGGACCCACGGTCTCGTCCTCGCGCTCCAGTTGGACGACAACATTGACTGACGAACCGCTGGTTAATAGGGAATTGAAATTAACATTAAATACAAACGCATTACTCGTATGAATCGTGTCGTACCTCTCGATGGAGTCCTTGTCGACCACATCGTACTTGAGCTCAATGTTGGGATAACTGTTACAAAACTTGGCCACATCTGCCATTTTGTTGGCATCCAATCGCAACAGTTGGTCCCTCTCGTCGTCATCCAAGTCCATGATATCGAACACCGATTCGATGCCCTTCTCGTTACACCTCTTAATCAAATCGGTGCCGAAATGAGGCAATTGTTTGAGGTATGAGTCCTTATTCCAGAGCGCCTGTGTCACCATCTGCGCCAACTCCATGGCCGCCATCGCCGGTCCCAACCAGCCGTTAGAACTCAACACATCGACGCACGCCTGCACCAGACGTATGCACTTCGAGAGGATCTCCTCGGTGTCCGACTGGAGTTCTGCCGACAAAGACATTCGGCAGAGATGTGCCTGAAGTAGAAGATTGGTCTTGACGTGTGGGTCCGAGTACTTGATGTTCGCCATCCGTTGCGGCACTTTAGACAACAGTTGCTTCAGAATCACGTCCTCCTTGTGTCTGATGGGAATGGACTCGTATTCCGCGGCATTGCTTATGATTTCAATCAAACCTCTGATCTTAGTCTTGGAGTTCAAAGACATACTAAACAATTCAATGGTCGAGTAGTTTATGTAATAATAGGCGGCAATCATTCCCAGATTGAGTGGCGTTATGTCCATCTCGTTCTCAATGGTAGTGCACTTCGATGTCTCCAAATCGGTTAGAGTTGTCTCAACCAATTCGGACATGTGGTCAGACAGGTGTCGGTGCGTAACGCCCGGCAGGTTATAGTAATTGGGATTTTGAGTCATACGGCGGTATAGGAAAGTCCAGGTCAGGTAGTCGACGGCGTCCTGTTTGTTCTCAATGGTTTTGGTCACCACTTCGGCGTTGAAGTGGTCGTGAATACAGTGATCCAGATGTGACTCGACAGGTAAGGGCTCGTACAGGAACTTCTTGAAGAAGTCCTTCTTCGAGGACTGACACAAGAGGACACACTTGCCGTCCTCATCAAGAAGGGGTCGATTGGCGCGACCGACCATTTGAATGACATCAGTGATGGGGTAGTCCTCATAGGCGTGAATCTTGCCGTTGTAGTACTGGGTGTCCATTATTATCACCAAATGTGCGTTTATTGATAGAGACCAACACAGGGATAGCGACACCACAACCACTTGAATGGCTCCCGAGTCGAAGAGCTGCTCCACAATTCGCCGGTCGATCTGATTGAGCCCTTCGTGAAGATACGCCACACCATTAGAGAGCGTCTCTTTGAGAGTGGCGTCAGATATGCGGTTGAGGAATGGCTCCAAATCCTGTTCCGTGCAGTAGAGGAATCGGTTGGGCTGTGCGTCGGCCGCCGCGTACGTCAGGATGTCTATGGCTGTGATCCGAGTCTGTCGTCGAGAGGACACGAAAACCATAACCGGATTCGTTGGCGAATGCGATAGAATCGACTGATAGACAGGTTTGGACATCGATTGCAGTCGAGACGCGTTATGCGTCTGATTGAAGCCCCGGATGTGGAGCTCGAGAGGCAGTGGCCTTACGTTGGGGTGAAAGTTAAAAGTCAAGCCCTGATTACAGCCCAACCATTGGGCGATGTCTTTGGCGTTGGCCAACGATGACGACAACGCTATGATACGAATGGGTTTATCGATTTGCGACGATATGTAGCGAATCCGAGAAGAGACCACTTCGAGAACGGGTCCGTCTTCGCCGCCAATCAACTGCAAGTCGTCGACAATATATAAGTTGACATTTTGCACGTTCTTCCTCTGCTTCCAGCGCCGGGATATGACGTCCCACTTCTCGGGCGTCGAGATAATGATGTTTCCTTTGGCCAAAAGCTTGAGATCAGTGGCGGTCTCTCCGGTCAGAAGAACCACTTTCTTATTCAACAACATTCCCAACTTATGGGTCCAATCGGCGTACACTATGGCCGCCAACTGCTCCTTAGGCGTCACGTAAACACATTTCGACTCATTTTGTTGGATAGTTAGCAGTCGAAGGATCGCGAACTCAGCGCATACTGTTTTGCCCGACCCGTTGGGTGCGCCCACAAACACATTGTCGTCCGTATTGTACAGCGAGTTAAACACTTGGGTTTGGATTGGATTGAAATACGGAAACTTCTCGCGATATAACGCCTCATAACTTGGATTTCTGAGCGCAGACACGGGTAGGGGCTGCAGATCCAGGAGCTCTGTCGGCGGCGGGTATTTCTCGGGTAAAATCAAGTGTCGAAACGAAACGGGAAATACGGTTTCGGCGCCAATCCATCGGTCGGACACAATGCGGATGAAGTATTGGGGCGGAAGGGGATCGAAGACTGGGATAAAGAACTTAATGATGTGTTCGTCTTCGCAGTACTTGTGCTTCAATAGGAAGTACTCGTGATGGAGGATAACCTCCCCGTCCACGTCCTCAATGATTATCCAAAACGCTTCGGAGTTTCCGTGAATTTTCTCATCCCATTGGAAGTCAGGAATGATTGTCAGCTCAACCTTAAGCGTGGATCGCGTGATGGGCTGTATGTGTGCCGACAGTTCCAGTTTCGGGAACTGATGGATGTATTTGTGGACAGTTTTACCCAATTTAGGCATTCGAAGCATTTCTCCGATTTCATTGGGACCCAAGTCATAGAGCCGTTCCCACGGAAACGCCTTTTTCTCGATCTTCTTCACCACTTCTTCGGGAATTCGCTTGAATTGTCTTAAGGGAGACATCGATTGCCACATCCGTCTGTCGATCATTTTGCAGAGAGACAGCGCTTTGTCGGCCAACTGAGCCCAACCGCTGTGCAAAACAATCTCATGAATGGCTCGCATAAGTCTGGCGGCAGACTGTGTAACGTAAACCATGTCCGCCATAAGCGCCAGTCCTTCGAGTTTGAGTTGAGAGATGTAGGCCTGAAGCAGAACATTGACTTTAGCCGACGGCTCCTCAATGGACTCCTTGATAGGAATGGGAACCCTTTCCATCAGTTTCTGGAGTTCGAGCTTCTCTTCCTCTCGAATCGTAATGTTCTTGAATTCACTCGAAAGCGAGAAAACTCTAAACAACTCGATCTCAGAGAGCGTTGGTTTCAGTAACTGGTTATACGTCGACATTGTCTCGTGAGTGCAGTAGTAATGACTGGCAATGCGTCCCAATTCGGTCACCTGGAGCTGACCGGACTTGCGGTCGAACTTAATTAGATTGGATTTGTCTATAATGGACGCCGCGGTGTATATCAGGTTCATGCGGTGCGTCTCGAGTAAGGGGTCCTCTTTGAGGGTGTCGTGCGATATGCTATAGAGAGTGGGGTTCCGAAGCATTCGCACGTATAGGTAGGTATAGCCCAACCAAGTGGTCGCCTCCTTCGCGTTCTGAATGTTCCCCAAAACGATCTCTGCGTTCAACATATCCGGCAGTTTCCCAATGAGTTGCGACTCAACCGGCAACTGTTGGTTCAAAAGAGACAAATAGTACTGCAGTTCCGAGTGCTGTGTAATGAGAATGCCTTCGCCTTTGGTGTCATACTGTGGTCGACCGGCGCGACCCAACATCTGAAGCACGTCCAGCGCTCCCAACTCAGCCCACCGCCCCTTCTCGGGGTTATACACTTGTGTGCCCTTTATTATAACGGTATGGGCGGGAAGGTTGACACCCCAGGCCAGTGTCGCAGTAGAGACCAGCACTTGTATGTGACGGTCAGCGAACAGATCCTCAACGAGTGTTCTGTCCACACGAGTCATACCGGCGTGATGTATGGCGAACCCGTAGGGCAACAGATCCTTGAGCTCGTGGTTCTTCACCTGTTCCGCTTCAGTGCGCAACACTTCGGTAGAGGCGGCGCCCTCTTTCAGGAACATCCCTAACGTGTCCTTTTCGAGACACATGTCGCGCACGGCTCGGGCAGTCTTTCCCGTCTCTTTCCTCGAGTGAACGAATATCAAGAGCTGACTCTTTCCCGCCTGTTTGATCACCTCGTCGTATAGGATCTCATTCATCAGTTGATACCTCTTCAGCGCTTTCTTCTCAGTGATTCCGATGTACTGCTGTTCGAGAGGAACGGGACGATAGCTGTTGTCGAAGTAGAAGAGCCCTTTGGATGAGTCGACTCTGAGGAATGTGGCGACGTCTTCGTAGTTGGGAAGTGTGGCCGACAGACCCACCAAACGGATCTCCTCCTGAGTGGTCTCAATGCTGCGGATCATACGCGCCACCAGACACTCGAGAACCGGTCCTCTCTCGTCGTGAAGTAAATGGATTTCATCGAAGATAATCAGTTTCACGATCTGTGTGTACGTCCGTTCGCCACCTTTCCTGGTGATGACGTCCCACTTCTCGGGAGTGCAGACAATCACTTGGGTTTCGTTGATCTGTTCGCGAGTCAACTGGTGATCACCCGTCAGTTCAGACACTTTTATGTTGTAGGACTGGAGTCGCTTCGAGAAGTTGCCCACCATTTCCTGTACTAACGATCTCATGGGCGCGACGTAAATGATTTTGAACTCATCGGCACTAATCAAACCGGTATTGGGATCGATATGTTTGCCGATCTCTCTGATCATAGTAAGCAACGCCACGTTTGTTTTGCCGGCACCGGTAGGCGCGCACAGTAGGAGGTTCTCGTCGCTGTCAATCGCGGCATTACATAATCGACTTTGAATTCTGTTCAACGATTTGTAGCCTTCAAAGGCCGGCTGAGCGTATTTCGGGAGCTTATCGATGGCCACCAAACTCTGCGTATAAGACAATGAATAATGCGATTAATTGTCACATAATTTCATACATTATTTAAATTAATTTCATAATAATGTTTGGTATAAATGTGTTTCAATATGACTCCATTTAAATGACAATAACTCTTAGTTATAATTAGTAGCTATTGGGATGTTGGAGGTAATGGACAACAAAGTGGTTACAAAAAAGTTTCACAAATACCTCATTGGCTTCAAATGGTTTGGGTTTGAGGGCCGGCACGTGAATCACTTCACAGCCTTTGCGCGCTTTCCTGAACGAGCCGTCAGGCAATTGACACCTTTTGTTGGCCATGAAATGTGAGCCCTGTGTGAACGCCAGGTCCTCCAAGTCCAGCATTTTATACTTAATGTTCGGCGCACTCATGTCCTCATCCATGTCTTCGCCGTCGTTATATGAATACGATTTTCCCAAATCTTTACTCTTCTTAGCCGTTCCGTTGGTGTCTGTGCTCTCGAGCGCTCTCAAGATTTTGGCCAAATCGGGATCGGATCTCATTTTGTCTTTGAGGCGATCCTTTTCCGACTGCTTCTGAGCCGACGCTATGAGAGTGCAGTAGAGGATTGTCGAGCGGTTCTGTCGCAACACTTTAATGAAGTCGAACTGATCGAAGCCTAACAGAGACACCAATTGGTTCTCCACTTCGTGATCATCTCTCGACACCTTCAGAATCTTGAGCACATCGGCGGCCTTCGACTGCGCGATCACGGGATCGTCGTATGCTTTACTCAGATTCCTCTGAAGCCAAAAGGCGTCCACTTCTCGCGGATGAACGGCAACCGAACTCGACTTCGCCCGCCTGTCGCGTCTCGTCTCCACTTGAGTCGACTCCAGATTCTTGGCATTAATGGCCGAATCGATGCCGGCGTCCACACCTTCGGCGTCCTCGTCGTCATCGTCGCGCACTTCGCCCACAATCTCGTCGTCGTCCTCTTCGTCCGACTCCTCGAACTGAACGTTCACTCCATAGGTGTCGTCGAGATTCTCTTCGGGCTGGTGTTGAGTGACCCTCTCGTCGACCCCGAAGTCAGTGATCTTTCGCGTCAGGTTCGCCAGAAGCGCGTACTTCTCGTCGGCTAACGTCCCGATCAATGCCTCGCACTCTCTCTTCTTCTCCTTCTCCTTCATTTTGTCGCCTTTTATCACTTGCAGGATCTCGTCGGCCGCCCCACACATCACATCCCGGGGCTGATCGCCGATCATCTCCGATATGAAGGCCAGTATAATCTCATACGTCTGGCGCGTCTCCGGCGTCTTCGGTCGGTATATGATTCCCACCGTCTGTTCCATCTCTTCGGACAGCAATGACTGGCCCTTCAGTTTCGACAAATCGTATTTCGAGGACTCGTTTTGGCGACTCTTCTTCGACTTCTTCACCCTCTCCTCCGTCTTCGAGGTCTGCGGACGCGTCCGTTCGTAGCGGTCGCCCATTCGCGCCGTCGCCACCCGACCGCTGAGGGACAGCACTTCGCCGGTCGCCTCGTCTTTAGGACGCCTTTCGATAAGACGAGTGTCCGCTTGGAGGACGAGATTCGAGTTCTGGAGGGAAAAGGGATCCATGAAAAGAGTGGTAATTAGAGATAATAATCAAAATTAATGCCAAATAATGGCCGACGAAGACAATGTGCGGTCACTTTCAGCAAACACTTACGGCTTTGTATTCATATTGAAGATCACGGGCGGTCTTGTCCGCCATATTGGGACACAAATTGTCTCAAATCTGATCCCAAGAAATGACACTCTTGTGGTGTGAATTGGTTTCAAATGGTATTGAAATCAAAATGAATTGTATTTTGTGTCGAAATTAATGACAAAAACGTTTTCCACACAAAACACAAACACCGCTAAAGGTGTCGCTCATAAACAACGTAACCATTGGAGTGAATGAGTGGACGTTATTACTAGCAGTGAAGGCCTCGTTGGATGAAAACTTTGGCCAAACTTTGATTGAAAACAACATAACGAGTGAATGAGTGCTGAAGTGATTTGCAGATAATCTTCGCGATCATGGCGTGTCTTTGGCCCCAAGAGTCGGCCAAATGCTCGCAAGTGATAGACATGGCGTCCGATTGGCCATCCATTGAAGAGTTGGCCACAAAGACCATCGATAGCCACCACTTCGCACAGTGTCTGCAATTGATGTCAACAAACAATGCGTTAATCCCTGCCGTCGAAGAGCACATCCGCTCGACGGAGACTCTCAGCTATTATTTGGTCCAAAATATGCCGATCTCTGCGTTGGTCCACAAGATACTGATCA